AGAGATATACAATAAAACTAAACGACAAACCAGTGTTTCTGTTAGTGTGGGCAACGATTTATAAATAAATCTATTTATTGATCTATAAATATAATATGCAACATGTGTGTTATAAATGTGTTATATAAAATTATTTATACTTAATAACAAATATTGATATTAAGAATGCTATTCATTAATGAATTGAATAATTCATATTTATAAAAATAATATATTAAATTATAATAAGGAATATATTCTGTGTTATTTTAAATGTTATTTTAATATTTATATGGTTATAGAGTATTTTAAGCCTTATCGTTTATTATTTTAGTAAAATTTAAAATATTTTTATAATATAGCTCAACATTTCAAAATTTAATAAAAATATCTAAATTTTTAATGTTTCACTCGAATATTTTTAAATTTTAAAATTAATTATATATAACATTAATTAAATATTAAAAACTTAAAAGACTATTAAAAATAAGTATTACTGCACTTTACATAGGATTCAATACATGTGAGGGGAATAACAGAATATTCTGTTGAAAAAGCATTAAAATATAATGCAATCGTAATTTATGGCTCATATGAACGCAAACCCATTGAATGATTAGATGATTGGCTCATTTGTGATCACATTTTGTTGTTTGTCAACAAAAACGTGAGAATTAAACGATTGATAGAAATTGTATTGAATTAAGGATTGAATTGATTGTTATATCGAGTGCTCATCGGGTGCTCAAGCGTTGAACGGCTGTAATGGCCAACACGTGTGACACAGTGTACGACAGTGTGAGGGCTCTGTTGTTGTGAGGGCTGGTGTGAGAGAGTGAGAGCACCGGTAGTATCGATAGGACCGGTCACTTGACTCGTGAACAGTTGGGACACTGACTTGGACTGAGTGGTTGTGGTTGTGGTGAGGGATGGGGTTAGGGATGGAGTATATGTTACATAAGTTGAGGCGAAATGTGGGCAAAACTAATTCACTGCAGATAATAGTGTTGGCGATCGCTATTCACTCGTGTGTCTCCGTTATTATGATTTATATTCATTTGGTTTACTATTTTGACACACATTTCAGGTATTTATTTGCGTTTAAATCAATATTTGTTTTATTATTTGCTTATTATTATAGGCCTATAATGTTGTGGCGAAAAGTGGTTTAGTTTAACAAATATATGACAATCACTTGAATTATGCATTAAACTAATTGTTTACTCAATTGATCACTGAATCAAACCATACACTCGTACTGTATATCCAATCCATACGACCACTCAATTAAACCCATTATTTCTCTCTCCCAACAGCTCTTATCCCTAATATATTTGTTTTTATTTAATTGCTTTAATCATATATTGTTTGACATTAATGTGATTTAATTGCAAAATTCAATGAAAGTCATAAAAACTTATGATAATATCGATATAATATGCAAATATAGACAATATATAGTGTAATATAGTTTGATATAAACGACGGCCACTTAAGTATATATTTGATTCATTGATCGTTTTATGGTTACATTGAATAACAAATAAATTAATTTTATATTCAATAGTAAACATCATTCAGAGCACAATCACTCAAACATCGGTCAAATCGTATACATTAAAAGCGATGAAGAATTTGGCTTAAATTTGATTCATAACGATATGATTAAATCCAATAATATATCAGATAAGGGATGGTTCAGCGATCACTCCAAATGGATTGTTTCAGTCAATTGTTTCAATAATCAGTGGTCTCTTTGCTCTCAAGTATTATTATTTCTATACTATTAATACATTTTGTTTTGCAAACAATTATAATGAATGGTTTCGTATATGAATTGAATATTAATTGATAAAAATAAACCACAGATTTTGTCGACGCAATGCAAAGCAGACAGGAGTCGAGCGATGTATCAATTCATACCAATCAGACATGATATCGATTTATACGATATTAACGTCAGTTTAAGAGCCACTGCTGACCAACTCGTGGAACAGGTTTTAATGTCTAACAAATGATTATACGTTTGGCATTAAAAATTACTATTTTTAACAATTATAATGTTTTAATCAATAGAGCAATCAGGCCTTCTATGGGATGTTAGTCTACATTAAATTTGATGACAATTCACATGAAATTATTAGGTATTTTATTTTTATATACTTCTTTTATATACAACACACATCATTTCATAGTTATAATTCCCATAAATTTCGTATATACAACAATATATTATTGAAAATAAATAAATTTAATTTTATTTAAAGTGCTATTATTGTTGAAAGTACACATACACTTTATTGATTAGTATATTTAGTATTGAAATGTGAGTTCATTCACATTCATTTGTTTACTATCATTGCATACAATGAATATCTTATGTAACGATATTTAATTTTACAAAATCAATTCATTCATAAAACTAAATCTGAAATAATATTAGTTATAAAATTATTTCCTGTAATTGAGTCCTGAATTGTGTAATTGATTGATGTATTGATTGAAAAGAAAACATAAAAGTATATCATTTTACAGTAAATTTGATCTCAATTTTTGTTTTCATCCGAAGCTATCTCTTAATTAAAATGCGTTGAAAATTAGTATTAAATTTCAACACAATTATTGGCTAATAATTTTTAAATATGAACTTAACATTAGTTGATGTATGAAATGGTGATAAACGATACTTTTTAAAAACATATAAATTCTATCTTTTGTGTTAATTTTCTTACGAATAATAGCGTAGGAGTTATTCGTTAGCCGTTTTTGAGTAGACGTTATGTTTAAGTCAATAAAATCACTGTCGGATATAATGGACTCATATTTCTATCCATTAAAAGGCTATTTCTCAAAAGCATTGCATTACTGTGTAAATCAATTGTTATTAATCGCACGTCTATTATATCATAACAAATCTTGACATTAAAGTCGTTCACATTTATTAGAAATTGGTTTATAGTTTTCAATATTGAAAGTCAGTTTCAGATAAATGTTTATTTCCATAAATATTTCAATTTTCTATTCTATTCTCATATAAAGTATATTTTTTGACATTTTATTGGATATATAAATAATATCCTATTATTTTGTTTTTCGATCAATATTTATATGATATTTATTGGATTTACACATAAAATAATATTATATTTATTATTATTTAGATTATTATAGGTATAAGAATATTATTTTTTAGTAACGCAAACAAAATATGCAAAATATATGTTATTCTCCATACAGTGAACAACAGAATTGACAAAAATATCTAACAATTGATATCCAATTGTAATACTTATAAATAGACTACAATTTCCGTCGGAATTAGAGCTCTGGACTCAAAGAAAGAGTCGATTCCACAACAAATTGAAGAAAAGAATTGAATCCATTACTCTTATGATCACATGTTTTGGTTATTCGGGATCCGTTTCTTTCACTGATATCAAAGTCTCGCCAATACTTGGTAACTGTTATTACGATAACTGTGTTTATAACTAGTTATCAATTTATTAAACATAATTTTATAACTAACTCTAGAAAAGAGTCAAATAGAGACGAGTGATGGGATCGGTCGCTGGTGTCATAACACATATAAACCCATCGATATAACTGATAATTTGAGATACGAACCAATGGTCATCTCTTTAGTCCCTATTCATAGAACTCGTCAAAAATCTGATGTGACTTTTGGTAAATAACTTTTTTTGTGATAAATTGATTGAAAGGCAATGTTTTAATTGAGTTATTAAATTCAGTCACTCAGCTATCAATGGATAGGTTAATAGTGTTGGAGCGAAGTCTGCAGTCATGGGTGGGACCCGTCTCTATAGTTATATTCATTCCCCTCAAGAATGTTGGCGAAGGTATACAAGAGTGGCACAGGTATTGGCGATCACTAAATAATAGTTATAATTAATGATAATAACAATGGATTTCTCATTCAATTAAGACTTTATATATCAAAGAAGTTGAAAATTTTGAATCTAACGCATGAAAGTCACGTGAATCTGGTGTCAGGACTCGAGAGCGACGAATATCCTATAAATGCATTGAGAAATATAGCCATAAAACACGTGAAAACAAAGTTTATGTTTATATCGGACGCAGACTTTCAGCCATCGCCTGACTTTAACAATAGATTTATGTCTATATTTTCCAAACATGAATATACATCGAGAACAGCGTTCGTTGTGCCGGCTTTTGAATATTTAGAAAGCCCTCAAGTAATGAATTGCTTCACTAATGAATCAATTATAGCATTAAATGAATTGATTTATGTTCAGAAAGAAGACCCGATTCCTAAAACAAAGGAAGAATTCATGCAATTAATACATAGAGAGGAGCCAATGGTTCAGCCATTTCGTGAGTCGACAATAGTCTACCGTTTCAGTGAATTAATCGTTTGAAATATTGTTTACGCACTTTAGGAGTGTTAGAGTCGGCGGACGCGCATCGGTTGACAAACTACTGGAAATGGTATTACGCAACACAAACCTATCCAGTGATGGGCTTTCTTGACAAATACGAGCCCTATATAGTCGTCGAGTAATTACACCAAATTATTATGGCTTTTAGTGCAAAACATTATTATTTATTTTGCTATTTAAACACATTTAGAAAAACAAATGATTTTCCATATTTTGACGAAAGGCTAAAGAGTTACGGCATGAATAAAGTGATGCATTCAACGGATCTCTTCGCAAACAAGTACTTTATTGTTAAAAGCAATTATTTCTTATCATTTATTTTAATACTGTTTCAAAATTTGTTTCATTAGTTATAAGTTTATAGTATTGCCGAACGTATGGACCACTCATTTGCCACACAAGACATCGCATTATTTTGTGACATTTTTACAGAATATAGAAACTAAACTCAAGAACAGAGCGGTTAGGTTCGAGGTCTTGAGGGATATCATCGACAAGAATAATATAAAAATTTATAATTGTTTTTAAATGTAATAAATTTATCATTATTTGTACAAAGACTTAATTAACTATTATATATGACTGGCAATGACTCTCAAGTGGCGGCGATTTTAGGTAAACCGAATTCATCCACGAGTTGGCCGTCCTATCAATTGATAATACATTGGCTTAAATGTCAATCCATTATTAGCTTATAGTAAATCACTTACAGCGTTGACGCTTTCGGCGCCGGGTTCTCTTGTGGGCACTTTAGGACCGGCCATGTCTTCCAGATATGATGTGTCCGTATCTAACGCTAACTCATCGCCCAATGCATCCAATTCTATGGAAACACATTTTCAATAGAAATTTCATATAAAATGCAAGTCTCATGTATGACGAGGAAAGGGGTGACAAACCAGCTTCGAGTTCGTCCTCATCGACATCGGGAGTGCCATAACTCCTGCCCAACGTCTCCTGGACCTCATTCGCCTGCTCTAACATGTCCTCCAACTCGTCCTGCATGTCCTGTTAGCACATCACGCGTTTAACACACGTCAACATTTAGTACCAATTTTGCAAATATTAAAAACAAGCCAAGGGTTACCTCAATCTGATCGATGTTAACCTTCTTGTACTCGCGTTTCATCTCCTTTACGCCTAACTTCATTGCGTCCACCTATGGATCGAAAGAGACAATCAATGGGTTATTGAGTGGTTGGGAAGGGTTGCGGCGATAGTGACCGTAGTCTTGGTGTCTTTGAGCATTTGCGTGGCGTAGTTGGTCTGCTCCATATTGAAGGACTGGTTCATGAGGTTATCCCTCTGCCCCTCATACATCTTCCTCTGCTTCAATACACGCAACGCCTTCTGTTTGATCGCATTCTACAACACAGACAACACATACACCGTATATATCAATACAATTAGTTATACAAATGGTTATATATATATGGGGTGTATATGGTGTGGGTGGGTGTGTTGGTGATCATCACCTTAGCGGGTCCGTCTCTCATCTTCTTCATCTGGTCCTTGTATTTGACGAGCTCTGCGTCCAATCGCGCGATCTTCTTGTCGACCGACTCCGCCCTACTGTCCACCTATTGGTCAAATACATAGAGACATAAACAACCAAATCGTGACAATTGGCCACTAATTTGGTGGACAATCGATACATACATTAGCGATACAATCGGTGAGGTTAGGCGCCGGCGCCTTCGGGTTCCCCCTCCCAAACAAACGGTTCATTTTATCACTTTTTATATATTAATTATATCGAAAACGAGTCAAATATATTGTTATATCGTTTGCCAAAAACAAAATACAATTAATTGTTTTGTTATATATTT